CTGCTAGATTACAAGTATACAGTGAGTTAGACTCCAATTATTATGTTTTGTTCATTATTATTATTGCTGTTGTTTTAGTGAAGCCAGTTGTAACAGTTATCGGTAATTCCAGTGTTAGTGTTCATGAGGGAAATACGACCACATTCATTTGTCGAGCTATTGCTATTCCTAGACCAAGCGTTGTATGGACCAATGAGAACAATATTCACATTGGGAACAGAATACAAAGCAATGAAGGTAGCTTTAGTTATAATAATAACTATTATTAATAATGAAAGTTTGGCATTTTAAGTTTATAATACTTCCTCTTGTCATGCTATCGTTACAATTATTTAACAATTCCTACTATGGTGCCACTGGTAAATGTGTATAAAAATCCTTTTGAGTATGTGTGAATAGTTGCTCTCATCAATAACATATCAAAGTTTAAATAAAAATTGTTGTTCAAGCCTCCCTCTACATACATATCAACACCTGCAGTCCAGTAGTTACATTTAAAATTGAATTAACAATGATAATCTTTTTGTTTTTGTGTAGTCAATATTGGAAATGACACTGTACTAAGCACTTTGACAATATCTTCAACAGAACAGGCTGATGAAGGTTCTTATAAGTGTACTGGTGCTACTGATAATGGAACTTCAACAGTTACATTTCATTTGCATATTGAGAGTAAAGAAATTCCTTTCATAAAAATTAAATTAAAATATCATACAGGTATTCCAGAGCCTTATCTTCAGTTGTATTTCATTGATTCAAATTCAACGTGTGCTACTGTAATGTGGGAAGTATTTGGTGTTCCAAACAATGCCAATATTACAGTAATTGTTGCTATTGTACTATATCTGCTTACTATATTATCGTTGATAGATTACATGGAGTCTTGCTGGACTGCATAATGAAACTGTGGGTGAAACAATTGTCATGCAAAGCAGTTCTTTTCTAACAATATTTAATCTATTACCAAACACGTCATATGTTATTACTGCTGGTCTGCTTGGCTTAACAGACTCAATAACGATTAATACAAGCATTATTTATACTAGCATCATCACTGGAGGTAAGTTTAGTGACATATGAGCTATAGTATCATCAGTGATT